AGTGGTAGAAACCACATTGACCTGTGGCTGGAGGGATGGTGCAGGAGATGGCTTCAGATTCCTGAGGCAGTAGGATTTATGCGAGAGGACCGGAAACTTGCACATCTGAACACTCTAGCCCTTGGCTTCGCTGGAAGGTGGAGGGTTGAAGGTAATTTGGCTGGGCAAGAGACATCTTGGAGAGTGGAAATGAGTATGGAGGACTTGAGGCGATTAAGGAATAGTTCAGATGGAAGATGTTCTGGACAGTGGGAAACGGGGAACAATCTCAATTGAGTTTGGAGTGTGAAAGCACATTGTGTGGGCAATAATTTGGTGATCTGAAGCATGGCCTGAATGTACAGTAGTGCTGAGAGACTCAGTCAACAGAAGCAGAGAAATGGGATCAGAATTCAGGAAAGATAGGAATAGAATAAAACAGATAGGAATAGCAGTGTAATTGTAGCACTGGATAAAGATGATGTAGTCAAAAGGCCAGAGTCTAATTTGATAGAAATTAGGGAAGAAAAGCTGATATATTACTTGAGTTATTTCAATGTAGATGAGGAATGGGTCCAGTGTCCATGCTGGGAGGTTTGCTTGTGCTGTTGGGGTGGTTTGAAAATAATTTGACAGGGGGATGGGGCACACAGTAGATGTAACGTTGGGTGCAAAGCCCAAATAGGTAATGAAAATATAGAAAGAATGCTGGGATAGTCCAGGTGATGGAGTAGACATGGGCACGATAAGGCACATGAGAGGTCCTGAAAGCTAATTGTATCTACTTTAATGCAACAAGCCTGGTTAGTAAGTCAGATGAACTTCACAACATTGATCAGCACATGGGAATATGATATTGTTGCAATCACTGAGATGTGGTTGAAGGAAGGACAGGACTGGCAGCTCAATGTTTTAGGGTGCAGACATTTTAGGCATGATAGTGAGGGGATGTAAGGGGGAGGGGTCATTGCATTGTTGGTAAAGAAGACCATCACTGCAGTAATGAGGGATGATGTCTTAGAAGGATCTTCAAATGAGGCCATCTGGGTAGAACATAGAAATTAACAAAAAAGGGGACAATCACTTTGATGGGATTATACGACAGGCCTCCCAACAGTCAGTGGATGATAGAGGAGCAGATACATAGGCAAATCACATAGAGATATTAGAGAAATAGGATTATAATTGTAGGGGATTTCAATTGGCTCACAATAACTGGGATTACCTTAGTGTGAAAGGATGAGACGGTGGAATTTTTAAAGTGCATCCAGGAGAGCTTCTTGTGCCAGTATGTAGATAGTCCAACTAGAGAAAGGCTGTGCTCAACTAATTCTAGGGAATGAAGCTGGTTAAGTGGTGGAAGTTTCAAGTGAGTGAGCATTTTGGGGCTAGTGACTATGACTTGCTAAATTTCAAAGTCATTATGGAAAGGGATAAGGATAGTGCATAAGTTAAGTTGTCAAAATTGGGAGAAGGCCAATTGCAATATCATTAGATATTATGGGGAGACAATGGCCTAGCGGTATTATCGCTGGACTGTTAATCCAGAGACCCAGATAATGTTCTGGAGACCCAGGTTCAAATCCTGCCTTGGCAGATGGTGGAATTTGAATTCAATAAAATAACTGGAATTAAGAATCTAATGATGACCATGAATCCATTGTCGATGGTTGGAAAAACCCATCTGGTTCACTAATGTCCTTTAGGGAAGGAAACTGCCATCCTTACCTGGTTTAGCCTACATGTGACTCCAGACCCACAGCAATGTGGTTGACTCTTAACTGCCCTCTGGGCAATTAGGGATGGGCAATAAACGCTGCTTAGCCAGTGATGCCCACATTCCGTTAATGAATAAAAAAAAAGGCAGGGTCTGGCAAACATAGACTGGGAGCAGCTACTTGCAGGTAACTTTACATTTAGCAAATGGGAATCTTTCAAAAATAATGTAGTGAAAATTCAGGACCACTGTGTTCCTGCCAGAGTGAAGGACAAGAGCAGCAAGTCCAAAGAACCCTGGATGTCCAGGGATATTGAGAGTTTAATAAAGAAAAAGGAGGCATATGTCAAGTTAAAAACAGGGGAGGCCCTTCAGGAGTATAAAGATGTAGGAGGGGGGTTGCTTAGAAAACAAGTTAGGAGAGCAAAGAGAAGCCACAAAATATCTTTGGCAGCAGGGATCACAGACAACCCAAGTATGTTAAAACTAGATTACCGGGGAAAGAGTGGGAACTATTTGAGACCCAAGGGGCAAACTTATGTGAAGTCAGAGGACGTGGGCATGGTCCGAAATGAATACTTTTCAAGTATTCACAGATTTACTAGAACGAATTAAGATGAATGAGGAGGACATGTTGGATGTTTTAGCAGGTACACAGGTAGATTAGTCTCCAGGACCTGATGAGATGTATCCCAGGCTGCTATAGAAGGCAAGGGAGAAATTGGTAGGGCCCAGTGGTGATATCTAATACTTCACTGGACACAGGTGAAGGACCAGATGATGTGGCTTCTTTGTTCAAGTAGGGCAGCAGGGATAGGCCAGGTAGTTACAGACCAGTTTTGATGTCAACGGTAGGGAAATGCTTGGAAAAACTTCTGAAGAACAGGATTAATTAATATTTAGAAAGGAAGGTAGACAAACAGGAGGCTGGAAGAACACAGCAACCCAGGAAGCATCTGGAGGAAAGGAGCAGTCGGTGTTTTGGGAATTACCCTTCTTCAGGACCACAGCGTTCAGGAGTCCTGAAGTAGGGTAATACCTGAAATGTTGACTGCTCCTTTCCTCCACATGCTGCCTGGTTTGCTGTGTTCTTCCAGTCGCCTGTTTGTCTACCTTGGATTCCAGCCTCTGTAGTTTTTTTTTGTCTCTTAGATAGGAAGAAATTGATTAGGAATAGTCAGCACAGGTTTGATAGAGGGAGATCCTGTCTGACCAATTTAATTTGAGTTTTTTGAAAAGGTGACTAAATATATTGATGAGGGTAGTACTGTTTACGTGGCCTTCAGTCAAGCCTTTACAAGGTCCCACATGGAAGGCTGGTCTAAGATGTAAGAGCACATGGAATCCAAGGCAAGTGGGCAAACTGCGTCCAAAGTTAGCTTGCAAATCGGAGGCAAAAGGGTGATGGTGGAGGGATGTTTTGTGTACCAGTGATCGGTGCTATGACCCTTGCTGTTTGTTATGTGCATTAATGACTTAGATGTGAAAGTAGGAGGTATAATTAGTAAGTTGGTCTGCCCAAAGTCCTCTTTCTCTGCTGTATGACTCTAAGATAGTCACCCTGTGAAGGAAAAAGTGGTTGGAGGGGCAGTGGGGGAGGAATTCTGGAGGTCTGTATGGGAGGATTCAAATGGGGCCCCCAGAACATTACCAGAGTTTCTGGATTAATAGTCTAGTGCTAATACCACCAAGCCATCACCTGTCTATTTCTAACTGAGCAAGCAGAGGGGCAAGACGAGACCATTCAACAACTGAAGTCTGCTCTGCCATTCATCCAATCAGCCGTCATCCACAACGTCATTCCATTTACTCACCTAACTTTGGGATGTCTCATAATCTTAGCCAACGTCAATGTAGCAATCAGCCTGCACCACCTCCCCTTTAGTCTCTCATGCTTTCTGGGAGAAATACTCCAGATTTCCATCACCAATTGCATAGAACAGTGCTTCCACTTAACACCCTTGAACAACCTGGCTTCAATTTAAACCTAAATTTGTACAGAGGAATGAGGAGCAGAAGTAGACGATTTATCCCATCAAGCCTGCCCCACTGTTCCACGGTTGATCTGGTTGTGATTTGAATTCCACCTTCCCATCTTTTCCCGATAACCTCTGATTCCCTGACCTAACAAGAACCTATCCACTTTGCCTTTAAAAATATTCAATGACCCCCACCATCACCAGCTTCTGGGGCAGAGTGCTCCAAAGTCACAAATCCTCTGAGTGTAAAATTTCTGTCATCTCTGTCCGAAAAGAGTGACCTTTAGTTGTAGGAATGTGAGGATGGTGCGGGAAAATGTTGTCAGAGAATTTCACAGTCTTATGGTGCAAAAGGAGGCTTTTTGACCCATTGTGTCTGCACCAGCTCTCCAAATAAATATCAAGACCGTGCCATTTTCCTGCCTTTTCCTCAGCATACCCTTTATTTTTAAATAATCTTCGAGTACCTTCCCAAATGCCTCAGATGCCTGTCTCACCACATTTCCAGGCTATACATTCCACATCCTCACTACTCACTGAGGAAAAAAAGTTTCTTTCTCACATCACATTTGCTCCCCTTGCAAATCACTTTCAATTTATGCCGTCTCTTTCTTGTTCCTTTTAAGAGTGGGAAGGTTTCTCTACCTGTTTCATCCAACTTGCTCATGATTTTGTAAATCTCTCTCAAATCTCCTCTCAGTCTTCTCTCCAAGGAGAACATTCCAAGCTTTATAAGTCTGTCCTCATCACTGAAGTTTCTCATTCCTGAAACAGTTCTTCTAAATGGCTTCTGCACTGACTCCAATGTGTTCACATGTTTCCTATAATGTGTCCCCACAACTGTACACAATACTGTGAATGAGGTTGACAAAGTAACTTCAAAATCACCTTCTTGTTCATGTATACTTTGTCCCTATCAGTAAAGCTGAGAACACTATGCAGTTTATTAATTTCTGTCTGCGCCAATTCGACCACCTTCAATGATCTCTGCACATTTACACCCCGGTCCCTTTGGTCCTTCAGCCCCTTTAGAATTGTACCCCTAGTTTAGGTTGTCTTTGTGTTCTTCTTGTGCATCACCTCACATTTCTCTGAAGTGAACCACATCAGCCACCTATCCAACCACTTTGGATTCTACCCTGACCTTCTCACGGTTTACAATTCCTCCAAGTAGAGGGTGAAGATGAGCCATGATTTTATTGAACGGTGGAGTTGAGGGCCTGAATTGTCGACAGCAGCTCCTGTTTGCTATGTTCCTGTTTTTCTGTGAGCTGAGTGATTGCCAGTGCAGTGCCTTACATGTTGCTTGTGTCTCTGTCTCTAAGGGAGAGGTTCGCTGCAGAGGATCAGCTTTGAACAGGCCAGGGGCTTGGACCGGATCAATGAAAGGATGCCTCCCCACAAGCCGCAGATGATGAATCAGCCCCAAGCTCCATCTCCGACTCCTCCACCAGCTCCAACTCAGGCCCAAACGCGAGCTCAGACCCAAGCTCGGGCTCAGGCTCAGGCTCGAGCCCAGGCCCAGGCACAGATGAAATGGCCCCCTCAGGGTTACCAAGCTACCCGTGGACTGCAAAACGCCTCCCCACAGCAGCAGCAGGTACCTGGGCGAGTCCCATTTAGCACCAACATATCTGCTGATCGCCGGCAGCAAGCAATGGGCCAGCGCCCCATGCCCACACAGCCAGGGATGCCAACTGCCAAGAACACCCAGGGAATGAAAGGAAAAGATAAGATGGCACACTAACAGTTCACCTGCCCTTTGTCATAGGGGCAATGAGGTCCTATTTATTTATTGTAATTGCTTGGGAGTGTCCTGAGACCCATAGCTCCCAGCCTGTCCCTTCACCTCTGTTGTGATCGATGCCCAGTTTTACTGGAATATTGAGAAATTTGATCTCTTTGACTTCGCCTCCCTCTTGGACTGAAGTGACTGGAGAAAAGCCGACTGACGTAGCCCTTGAGTTTGCGCGGGCCTTGCTAAGTTTTCTGAAGGAGCATTCTGGGGAATGTGTGGTGCATTTGGGAAGTGCATAACTATCTCAGTCCCGCTCGTGAGTCATCTTCGCATTGAGTGCCCAAGTCTGATATTTGTTCTCACCCTGGTTCAGGGTGTTGAGGGGAGAAGGACTGGACTACTTGCTTGTGTTGCACTGCAGTAGACAATGACAGACAGGGAACCCAGAAGGATATCAGTGTGTTCTCGAAAGCATCACTTGCCTCCTTTGTGATGACTGACCTGCCATTGCCCACTCCCCTGTGCAGGCCCTTTTTACCTGCTACCTTCACCTATACTTGCAATGACTTGTACCATTTCAGCTGGTGAGGCTGAGGACATATGCGCAGAGCTACTCAGCTCTCCTGTCTGTTCATTTTCAGCCACCTGAACAGTCCTGCCCACGGACAACTCTATCCCAGTTCCCAATGAGTCGTCATCAGCTTTTTTACAAATCTGGCTCCGATTTGTTTTTTTTTTATTGTGGCTCATGGGAAGCCTTTTGGAAAAAGGAAGCATGGAAACAAAATTGATTTGTTCCAAGTTTTTATTTAAAAAAAAACAAGCCTGTTATATGGTACAATGTCTGTATCCCATCTTGAAACTTCATTGTAAAATGAATGAACCTGTATGTGTGAACTAGATTGAATCCTGATGAATTGGGAAGGTCAGCTCGAGAAAGATGTTCTGTCATGAACTCTGGTGTTGTCTTTGGGGACATGTCTCTGAGCTGGTGCCCGTCTGTGAGGTCAGTTGAAAAGTGACTGAAATCAACTCACTCTGTCCTGTTTCTTCTTCTCTGCCTTGCCTCTGTCTTTCTCCCCATTGTATCTGCCACTCTGTCTGTCTCTCTCTGTCTCCATTCCTTTCCCCTACTGTCTGTATCTGTCCACTCTCTCAATTGCTTTCTTCCCCATTTTTTCTTATTCTAACTGACTGTCTGTCTGTCCTCCCACCCATGTTGCACATTGTCTCTCGCTTGATAGCACTGTCAGTAATCAGGAGACTCCTGCAGTGTTCTTGTAACCAAGCTCTCAGTGTTGTACATTTGGAAATCTGATTGTTTGGGTTCTGCTCTGCAGATTACATCTTCTTGGTCAAACTTGTCCTATTTCGGTATTGAGTTCAAGATGCTGCAGTGCTTGAGGAGATGATCAGAGAGAGAACAGATCTGAGATCTTTGGTATACATCTTTTATCACCTCGCCTTTCGGATGGAAAATTAACGGTTCTTGAAGTTGAAGAGCTGGTGATAGTTATTCTTCCCAAACCTGTGAAAGGGTTGGGCCACAAAGACCCTCTGGAACATTACTCCCACAGTTCAGATATGCTTGCTTTAAAACCCTGCTTTATCTGGGAAATGATGTTCAGACCTCGTTACCCAATGAAAGCTCATCCACGAGATTGCATGAACCAAGAAAATCTAGGCTGCACTGCACAATTGTTAACTGATGTCACTCAGTTTCCCAAAGCAAAAGTTACATTTTTGGTTCCCTCTCTGAAGAGTGCTGAAAGTAAATTTAATGAGCTGCAGGATCTCTGCCACTGACTGTCTGAGAAAAACAGCGACCATCCAGTGTTTGCAAATTTCGGATCTTTAGTGTGCAAGTCTGGAAAATTTTTCCCAGTGTGTGCTTTCATTGTCTTGCAATGTCTGTTTGCAGGGCTCTTCGTTCGAGTCCCTCTGTACTTAATGGCAACACACCGACAATTCTAGACTGTACTGCAGCCTTTGCAAAGAATCCTAAATCACCCTGAACAAAGGGAGTCTGCTCTGAAACAGTGTTGCAGTACCCACCCGAAACTGTTGGCACAAATCAGTGTCACTGCCTTTGGAGGCAGTGGTGCATTGATTAGCAGGACAATTGTCCTAAGACAGCAGTATTGGGTTTGTTGTAGCTCTGAATGAAAAGGTCCTCCAGATGACGATCACTTTGTGAATATTCCAGATGTTTGGCAGCCAACAGTCACAAAATGTCAGTTTGACTGCATGTGGTCAGGCCCATACATCAAAGTTGCAGCACTCCTCCAGTGAGCTCTGTTCTTACAGCACTCCTCCAGTGAG